ACCTTAAACTCGAAGACCCAGGTTTCGGGCTGGGGGCGGGGTACGAGTTCCACATGCATGTTTTTTTTTGACAGCTCCCCGATCCCCCCCCTCTGGGGCTCCGAGATGCCGTTCGGGATGAAGAGGAGGTGGAAGAGGAGGAGGAGGAGGAGGAGGAGGAGGAGGAGGAGGAGCAGGAGGAGGAGGAGGAGGAGGAGGCATGTTTTAACATGCCATGCTGGCCCGCACTGGACGGGCACGCAATCGACCTTGGAAACCGCAGTGGGTCTAAAAACCCTGTTTGGGGATACGGCACTCCGGCTATGATTTTTTTTACAGCTCCCCGATCCCCCCCCCCTCTGACTGGAAAGGGAGGGTAAAGCTGGGCCCTTCGGGTTGGATTGGCGTGGCTCGGTGGGTGGTGAAAGCCCTTGGCGCGCGCCGCCCGGACGCCCCTTCCCCGTGCACTTGCCGGCTCCGCACGCTGATTCGTCGCACGAGGATCAAAGATGATCCTCGACGATCCCAGACCCCCTCGAGTAATGAAAAAATCATGACGGGATGTTTTTCCTAATTTTCGGCCTCCGGGGGCCCTCACCGGGCCTCGGGAGCGTCAAAAAACGACTCAGGATGCAAAACCGGTCATGGGGAAAGGGTCGGGACCTCTGGGGGTCGACGTAATGAAAAAATCATTACGTCGGGGGTCTGGGATCCTCGCCGACCCAGACATGCGACGTCCTGATTTGTTCCATGCAGCGCCCCAGAAGTCCCGACCCTTTGGGACCGGCTCTTCACCCCGCGTCGTTCTTTGACGGCCCCGGGGCCCCGCGGGGGCCTCCATCGAGCCCGACGGCGGCGAAAAACCTGCGCCCTGGTTTGGTCGTTGCGACGCGAGCATGCCCGGGGAGAGCCAGCCCAGAGATCCGACGCCGTGATCTTCCCAATGCGCGGTCCCTGGAAGTCTCGACCCACTCCCCAAGACCGGTGTCTCATCCTGAGCCGTTTTCTGACGGCCCCGGGGCCCGGTGAGGGCCCGGGCCCCCTATGGAGGTGTCAAGCTTTCTGCGAAACCCTTTTTTGCTCCGCGGGTCGAGAGCGCACCTCTTCCGGTCGAAGCTGAGCGGGCCGCGCGAAGCTTGGCTTCGGCAGAGGAGAGGAGGGAGGCCAAGTTCTTTGCGAAACACCTCCGTCTTGATTTTTCCAGAGACGTTGGACATCTGGGAGCGCGCGCGCCCGAGCGATGCCGACCCAGACATGCGACGTCCTGATCTTTTTTCAGCACGGCCCCGAGATCCGACGCTGCGAAAAAAATGCAACATCGCAAAAAAATCACGCCCGGAGACCCGGACCTCATCTTTCCGCATCATTTTTCGAGCACGATCGATCTTTCAGGGTCCCGGGCGCCGAAATCGAGCGAAAACGCCCGCTGCAAAAAAATTGCAACGCCAGGGGGGACGCCGCCGGAAGCCCAGACCCTTTCCCCTGGACCGGTTTTTCGTCCCGGGTCGTTTTTGGACGGTCCCACGGCCCGGCGAGGGCCCCCAGAGGCCGAAAACGGCCAAAAACTTCTCGCCCGTGGATTTATTTACGGCGCGATCCTGTCTGTTGAGCAGGGGCCGACCGTCCCGGCACCTATAGGCCTACCACGAGATCTTCTTAGAACCCGAAGATGTTCCAAGAGCAAGAACAGTGTTCTTAGAACATAAAGCCGATGTGTTGAAACAAGACAGCTCCAGCCAGAAATGGTCCAAGAACACTTCGTGGAAGCCACAACAAGGTTCTCAGAACATTGCTTGGTAGGCCTATGAGGTAGTTACGCCAGGACGCTTCGCCACTTCTCGAGTCTGGGGAGCCCTTGGCTAGGGGGCCACATGCGAACCCTACCCCTACCCCCATGATTTCTGAGGGGGAGGCTGGGGCTCACTCCACTCGGGAGCTCCCGAGCGAAGTGAACCCCACCCTCCTTCTCAGAAATCGTGGGGGGGTAGGGTTCGCATGTGGCCCTCTATCCCAGACCCCCGACGTCGTGATTTTTTCACAACGTCGACCCCCAGAGGTCTGGACTCCTTCCCCGGGACCGGTTTTTCATCCTGAGTCGTTTTTTGACGGCCCCGAGGCCCGGTAAGGGCCCCCGGAGGCCGAAAACTAGGAAAAACCTCCCGCCGTGATTTTTTCACAACGCGAGGGGGTCTGGGATCGGCGCGCGCCGCCCGGCACCAGCGACAGGCTCCCGGCCGCGGCCGTGGCGCCCCGGGGCGCGCCGCTCTCGCCGGGGCCCGCCAGCGAGAGGGTCACCGCCAGGCGCCGGGCGCCCGGCTCGTCCAGGGAGAAGGGCGCGCGGAGCGCGGGCGTGGGCACCTCGCGGCCGCCCAGAGGAGGGGGAGGAGGAGGAATGGGAGGAGGAGGAGGAGGAGGAGGAGGAGGAGGAGGAGGAGGAGGAGGAGGAGGAGGAGGAGGAGGAGGAGGAGGAGGAGGAGGAGGAGGAGGCGCGCGAGGGGGAGGAGGCGCCCGTTCGCTCCCTCCCGCGCCCGCCCAGACGCCCCCGCGAGGCCGCGAGCCTACCCGGGGCGACGAGCAGACCCCGACGCTCAGACTGCCCCTCGCTTGGCGCCAACTCTCTGAGGGCAGCAAGTTTCTCATAGGGGAGCAAAAAGTGTCATAAACATAAAACTCGGAGGTCCGCGCGGACTTCTCTGATCGGCGCTGGACCCCCTCCCTGGCGCGCGGAGCGCGCCAGGGGCGGCGCCGGAGGCGCGTGAGGGGGGGCCCCAGGACACACAAATAAATACATACCAATAACAGGATTCCCAATATTTTCATATATTTTCTGGGTTTTTGTCTTCCCCCCACTTCCCATATTTTCCTTTATTTTCTGGGGAACCAACGATTAATTGTGTCTGTGTGTGTTTTTCCCTCCTGACATCTATGGTGTCGATCCCCGCCCTACTTTGCCGTCGCTGCTTCTGCGCCGTGCCATTGCGGCAACATCCGCCCCTCCACTGCTGCGGCGGACATTTCCGCCCCACTTTTCCGCACCGTCGGGGATGCATGTGTAGGGAGTCCACAAAGGACGTACGCGCCCAGCTATGTACATGAACACGGCCCCTCGATCCGCGAGACCGGCCGCGTCATACGAACATTTGCGCCATGCGTACTCTCGAAACCAGCGTGGATTCATGTACATGTACGTCCTTCTTTCGCTCCTGAATGTGTGACACCATTTTACCTGGGCCAAGCAGCCAACGTACGGCGGATCCGAAATCAGGGTACTCAGAAGAGGAGGCCCCCCCTCACCTCACGTTTTCGCTACTCTCGGCCTCAGGGGGCTCACGCCGGGCCCCGAGACCGTCAAAGCCGACTCGGGATGAAACGCCCGCTGTCCTGATCTTCAGGAGTCCACGCATCGACAAAAGTGGATCGCTGGATACTTGGGCCCAGAGGCAGAGAAACCCCCCTCGCGTCATGAAAAATTCGTGGCAGACGGTTTTTCGTTGTTGTCGACCGTTCTTAATTACCACCGGGCCTCGGGACCGCAAAAAACAACGCAATGTGTAGAGCCGGTCCCCAGCACCTCGGCGAACTGCAGAGGAAGCGAAGATGACCTGAGATCCGGACGACGCAACGTTTTCGCACCGTGGAGGTTCCCGCCCGGCTTCGAGCCCCTGGACGATCACAGATGGATCCCCAGACCCCGGCCCGACGTCATGATTTTTTCATGACGCGACCCCCAGAGGTCCAGACCCATTCCCCGGGACCGGTTTTTCATCCCGAGTCGTTTTCTGACGGTCCCGAGGTCCGGTAAGGGCCCTGAGAGGGCGAAAATAGCGAAAAACCTCCCGTCGTGATTTTTTCATGACTCGAGGAGGTCTGGGTCTGGCTCGAAAGATGCCGCAGAAAGATGGGGTCTACGGTCGAGGGCTTCGGAGCAGATGTTCTGACAACGGTGCAGTTCTTCGCAGCGTCGAATCTCGGGGTGCCGCTGCTCACCCTCGGGGGTCCCCGTCGCCACGCCTGCCTTTCCTGGAGGGGATGGTCGAGTGGTGGAGCCCAATGATCACCCACGATGTGACCCCAGACGTGCGACGTCCTGATTTTTTCTGGACCGCGTCCCTGGAAGTCCCGACCCTTTCCCCGCCCAGATGGTCTGGTACCGGAAATTTTCGGTAGCGATTTCGACGCACCCCGAATTTCGGTAGCGACCGGATCTTCGTTTGAGGGCGTTGAAATAGCGGATTTCAGAACGGTTTGATACCGGTATTGGGCGCTACATTTCGGTATTTCGGTAGCGACCGATCTCTGCGGAGCGCTACCGGAAATTTTCGGTAGCGGACCATCAGGGCGGGACCGGTTTTTCGTCCTGAGTCGTGTTTCGGCGGTCCCGAGGCCCCCGGGGCAGAAAATAGCCCAACACTTACCGTCTCGATTTTTTTACGGCGCGATCATGTCTGGGATGATTGCCATCGCAGCGTGGCTCCTCAAATTCGGCCTCTGGGGCCCGTCACCGGGCCCCGGGGCCATGCGAGATGGATCCGGGGCGGGGAGCTGGCCCCGTGGAAGAGGTCGGGACCTCTGGGGCCGCGGATTGAAACAAAACACATCGTTGGATGTGTTGGAGCGACCTTTGGTGCGCGGCTTTGGTGGGGCCGCGGGAGGGACCCCCAGAGGTTGCAACCCATTTCCTGCAGGGTTAAGTCGGGCGTGTCCCCCTACAGGGGGATTATGGGCGACAAATAAAAGATACTCAAAAAATGCCCCCCCAAGAAAAAAAAATAAACAAAAAATTGTCCCCAGGCTATATCTTTACTGTTTTGGGATACTCCCCCTGTAGAGGGACAGGCCCGACTTAACTGTAGGGCCTGCTTCTCATCCCCGAGTCCCGAGACCCGGCGAAGACCCCCAGAGGCCGAAAACTGTCAAAAAGCGCCCGTCGTGACATTTTGCCACGACTCAAGGAGGTCTGGGGGGGATGAGCCCAAACATGATCGCGTCGTAAAAAAATCGAGACGGGAGGTTTGGGGCTATTTTCTGCCCCGGGGGGCCCTCGCCGGGCCTCGGGACCGCCGAAACACGACTCAGGACGAAAAACCGGTCCCGGGGAAAGGGTCGGGACTTCCATGGACGCAGTCCAGAAAAAATCAGGAAGTCGCATGTCTGGGAAGGGTTCCTTCTCCGAGCTCAGGCGAAGGGCGCCCACTCCCCAGGACCGGCGTTTCAGTCTGAGGCGTTTTTCCACAGTCCCCGGGGCCCAGCGAGGGCCTCGAGTTAAAAAGCTCAGGGGCCGCTAGAGAGTGGTTCGACCACAGCCCTCCTGAACCCCCCCGCGGAACCCCCCGAAAAGCCTCCCGGAGCCCTCCGGGGAGGGTTTCCGCATGGTTTCGGGAAGGCTTTGGCATCTTGGGGGAAACTAACCTTGGACTTCCTTTCCAACTCTGGAGGCCGACAACGGCGAAGAACCTCCGATTGGTTTTGTCACTGCGTTGGATCACTGGGACGACGCGCGGCCCACGTTTGGGGCGGACGCGCCCGAAAGACAGGCCGCCCTTCTTTCTGCGTCCTCTGCCTGGGTCTTCCGGCGCCGGTGCGCCCCAGGCTCCGATAGGGTCGAAGATCTGGGGCGCCGCGAGGGTAAGGGGAAGGGTCCCCAGAAGCCTCGGCTCCCAGGGGCCAGCGTATATAACTCTCTGCTCCACGGCCCCGGGGCCCGGCGAGGGCCTCTGGAGCCAGGAGAGGCATATAGAAAGTCCAGACGGAGACGGAGCCACTCCGTGCGGATTTACCCCGACACCTCCTCCTCCTCCTACTCCTCCTCCTCCTCCTCCTCCTCCTCCTCCTCCTCCTCCTCCCTCCTCCCTCCTCCCTCCTCCCTCCTCCCTCCTCCCTCCTCCCTCCTCCCTCCTCCCTCCTCCCCTCTGGCACGACGTTTCTCCATCGGCGGCCCCAGGTCCCGACCCCTTCCCAGGGGCTAGTGCTGCGCCCCGATGTTATCTTCGAGGGCCCCAGGGCTCATGAGAACGAGCCCCCGAGGCCGACCTCGCCGAACTTCGCCCGGACTGGAAAAAACCAGACCGTCGGAGATCTGGGCACTCCGCATATGGACTTGGCATCCGCCGAGAGAGGCCGAGAACTGCCCAGACACGAGACGTCCTGGTTTTGTCCATGCGCGGTCTCCGGAAGCCCCGACCGCTTCCCCAGGACCGGTTTTCCATCCTGAGCCGTGCTTTGAAGGTCCATGGGGCCCGGCGAGGGCCTCCAGAGCCCGCGAAACGGGCCAAAAACCTCGGTCCTGAGCCGTGCTTTGAAGGTCCCTGGGGCCCGGCGAGGGCCTCCAGAGCCCGCGTAACGGGCCCCAAAGCCTCCGTCCGATGTTCACGCATGACTGTCGTCCGACCCGACCAGTCGGGTCGGGCGAAGATGGCGGCGCGCACCAGGAGGGGGGGCGCGAGAAGGCCGCGCCCCTTCTCGGACGGCAGTGGCCTCTTCGGAAGGGCCCGAGGGAGTCGAAGAAGGCGCCCTGGAAGGCGGCAGGGCTCATGAGGAGCCCCCTGCGGCGCGACCACGTCTGGGTTAGCATCCGCCGACAGAGGCCGAGGACTGGGGCCCGGCGAGGGCCTCCAGAGCCCGCGAAACGGCCCCAAAGCCAACGTCCCGAGTTTCTCTTGCGGCACGACCCCAATCCAGGACACAGCTGTACGAGACCAAACTCTCCTGTTTGGGGTGCACCTAGACCGGTTGAGTGCGCTTCAGTCGAGGGCTCTCCCTCTCGACACCCTGAGCCAGGGACGCATACGGGTAGGAGGAGGAGGAGGAGGAGGAGTGAAGAGGAGGAGGAGGAGGAGGAGGAGGAGGAGGAGGAGGAGGAGGAGGAGGAGGAGGAGGAGGCGGAGGCGGAGGAGGAGGAGGAGGAGGAAGGAGGAGGAGGAGGAGGAGGGAGGGAGGAGGAGGAGGAGGGGAGGAGGAGGGAGGAGGAGGAGGAGGAAGGAGGAGGAGGAGGGAGGAGGAAGACAGATCGCTGCGTTAGCATCCGCCGACAGAGGCCGAGAACTGCCCCGAGCGCGGCCGAGCACCATGCAGCGCAGCTCGGCCGCCTCGGGCGGCAGCTGCCTGCCGAGGTCGGGCGCCGTCGCCTGCGCCTCCGAGAAGTACCGCGAGCCGCCGAGCGCCTCGCAGCGGCAGCGACGGTGGCGGGCTTGAAGCGTTCCGCCATCACCGCCAGAAGTAGGAGGGGGAAGGGGGTCCTCCTCCCTCCTCCTCCCTCCTCCTCGCCTTTTCTTCTTCTTCCTCCTCCTCCCTGCTCCTCCTCCTCCTCCTCCTCCCCCTCCCCATCCTCCTCCTCCATCCTCCTCCTCCTCCTCCTCCCTCCCTCCTCCCCTCCTCCTCCTCCTTCCTCCCCCTCCCTCCCCCTCCTCCCTCCCCCCCTCCTCCCCCCCTCCCCCTCCCCCCTCTTCTCCTCCTCCTCCTCCTCCTCCTCCTCCTCCTCCTCCAGATTTGACGGGCCCGTGTTTGAAGAAGGGCGAGTTTCAGAGCAGGCCAATCCTTGGGCTCGACAAGGCCAGCAAGACCTAGATGCGCTCATGGCCCCGGAGTCGGGCGCCAGCTTACACGAGTATCAGAGTACGTTCGAGTTTTTGTTCACGGATTGCAGCGAGTTTGTGAAGCTCGACGTGGACGAGCTCCGCGCAAGGTTTTTTCTTCTCACAGACTCCGCCACGGGACGGCCCAGGCTGGCGCAGGCGGAGGCGAGTACAGATGCAGCGAGTTGAATGCAGAAGGTACGGTGTGCGGCACAACATGGCCCACAAAACAACAATTGTACGCACACGTATCATCTACGTCGGGGGGCACGCACGGCAAATCACACATAGGCAAAGTACTTACGACGACGAACTACTGCATGATATGCGAGAGCACCTTCAGCGACAAGGAAATCGCAAAGCAACACATCGCAGCGAGCATGGTTCGAGAGTATTGTCCGAAGTCCAGGGCCCGATTTGCTAACGCACTGGAGGAGCCCGATTGTCTCAGGTGCCCCCTGTGCCCTGAGACCGTAGCCGATTTCTTCAAGCACTATCGTGCACACATTCAACCGCTTCTTTCACCGTCGTTTCGCATACGAGCGTTGCAGCAAGATGGTGGAGGCCTCGAAGTCGTGGATCGCTCGCGCTGGGGCGCGGGCGGCCAGTTCGAGGGCCAGCATCGCAGGCAACGCCGCGGCCAAGAAGTTCAAGGGCGGGGGCAAGGATGAGACCATGGAGGACGAGGACGAGCTGGACGGCACGATGGCGGTGATGCAATCGCTACTGGTGCAACTCGAAGGACGCGTACGCACGCTGGAGAACGAGGTGCACCGAACAGTACTGAACGTCGAGAAGTCGCCCACCGTGAAGGCCATCAGCGACAGCTTCCAAGCAATCGTGACGAAAAAAAAGACGGGGGAGGAGGGAATGCACATAGGCACGCCAGCGTCCCACTGCCTTTTCGGGGCTCTCGACGCTATCTTGAACTTCGAGCACAAGGACGGATCCCCGCGGATGGCTTGCGTGTTGGAAGCACTCGAGCGCCTCAATGAGATGCTCGAGACGGGCACGCCTCAGGACGCAGAGAAGTGGATCCACGAGCTCCTGGTGCTGCCGACCTTCGACAAGCCTGGCAAGGAGAGCAAGGACCGTGTTATGTTCAATTTCCAAGGCGAGGTGCTACTCTCGAAGGACCAGAGCCACAACGTCGCGTTGATGAAGGCCATCAAAGACAATAATCACTTGCTCCACAGCCTCAGCCCGACGGAGCGCCCCACCGAGATGCTGCGCATGAAGGGCACACTCGTGCCCGCGGAGACGGTGTTCGCGGAGGCGCTCAGGAGCCTAGGCGGACAGCTACTTGGAGGACGGGCTCCAAGGGGGAGCATGGCGCGGCAGATTGGAGGTGGAGCTCGGGGAAGTAAACGCTGAAAAAATCCTAGCGGTGCTAGGTTCGCGTCGCCACACAGGGCCGTCGGTGGGTGTGGTGGCCTCCCCCCACGAGCTGCGCCCTGCTGGCTCGTGGCTGTGTTGATGGGGAGGGGCGGCCCAGATTTGCTTGGACGCAGCAGTCTATCCGTGTACATTTGTTTCTGCGAGTACGGCACAGAGACGCACTCCATGCCCAGCCCTGATGCCAATACGACATCATCGGACATCTCTCTTTCATGAATGTTCGGGAGCTGCTGGGCTGCGGGAGGATCGCAGATCGCACAAACTCGTTCCTGTTGAGCTGGGACCTCGAGAGGTGAGTGGCTTGCCGCCTCGTGCCGCACCCCCGCGCTGGCCCCGGGCTGCGGGTAGCAGCCTCTGCAGGCCCGCAGATACCAGAGAGGGGGCGTTATATACTTGTATATAGCCCTACCCGGGGTCGGTTTTCAGAGACTGTTCAGAGGATCTGACCTGAATGGGAAGAGAGAGAGAGAGAGAGAAAGAGAGAGAGAGAGAGAGAGAGAGAAGCAAAAAAAGAAGAAGAAGAAAAATGACTCCTCCTCCTCCTCCCCCATCTTCCTCCTCCCTCCTCTCCCCCCTCCTCCTCCTCCTCTTCTCCCTCCCTCCTCCTCCTCCTCCTCTCCTCCTTACTCCTCCTCCCCTCCCACCTCCCCTTCCCCCTCCCCCTCCTCCTTCTCCCCCTCCTGCTCCTCCTCCTCCTCCTCGTCCTCCTCCGCCTCCTCCTCCTCCTCCTCCACTTCTTCCTCCCCCTCATCCTCCACATCCTTCCCCCCTCCCACTCATGGTGGTGGTGGTGGAAAACAGGTCCATCAGATAGGGCGGGGACCGGCACAAGGGGGAAAACCCTGAGATCCCGGCGCTGCAATTTTTTCACAACGGGCGTTCTCGCACCGCTTCGGGCCCCAGGACCCTCACAGATCGATCCGGCTCGGCCAATGGCGTAGAAAGATGGGGTATAGGGCTCCGGGCGTCATTTGTCCCATTGCAATGCTTCAACTTTTTCGCGACTTCTGATCTCAGGGAACATCGACCTGGAACCGGCGATACATCGCCGATGCATCGGCAATGGGCCCCCGATAGCAAATCGCCGCACTCCTGGGCGGGGCGGGGCCATCGGCCGCTGTTGGCGATGAGTGGGCCCTGGCATGCTCCGATCTGATTTTTTCCACCGGCGGCCCCAGAGGTCCCGACCCCTTCCCAAGGGGTAGTTCTGCGCCCCGGATCAAATGTTGATTGTCCTGGGGCCTATGATAACGAGCCCCGGAGGCCGAAATTGACGAAATTCGCCCGGATGGAAAAAACCATACATGGTCGGAGATCTGGGGACGATTGGGGGCCGATGCATCCCGCCCTGTGCCAGTCCCCCCCCTATCGTTAGGTCGGGCATGTCCTCCTACAGGCGGACTTTGCGCGAATTATTTTTTCAGGACATACATCATCAAAAATAGTAGAAGAGTCGTCCCCAGACGATTTTTGGACCATCTTTGAATATTCCTCCTGTAGAGGGACGTTCCCGACGTAACCCTGTCGTCCCCCCTGAGCCTCGAAGCGGCACCAGGCGCGCACGCCCGCGGGCAGAGGCTCCGTGAGCAGGAGGCTGACCTGGAGGTTGACAAACAGGATAGACCCCAGACGCGATCGCGCCGTGAACAAAAATCCAGCACGGAGGTTCTTCGCCGTCTGCGGCCTCTGGATAGGAGGAGCAGCAACCAGGAAACTCCGAGTTTCTTACCAAGCGTCGGGTGGGCGTCACCCTCGCCGACAGCCCCACATCGACCCCCGTCGCGGGCAGCCACCGCGCGCCGAAGGCTCTCCGACCCCCGTCGCGGCGCGACGACGAGGCGGGGTTGATCCCCGTCGGGGGGGTACCCCCCGACGCTTATTAAGAAACCAAGAGTACCCGGGACGCGATCGCGTCGCGACTAAAATTCAGGACGGAGGCTCTTCGCCGTTTCGGCCTCTGGATAAGGGAACGAAGAATGACATAAGCATAACAACTCGGAGGTCCGCGCGGATTTCTCGGATCAGCGCGGGTCCACTCCTGCGCCACCCCTGGCGCGCTCCGCGCGCAAGGGAAGGGGGTCCAGCGCCGATCCGAGAAATCCGCGCGGACCTCCGAGTTTTTATGTTTATGTCATTGTTCGTTCCCTTACTGGAGGCCCTCGCAGGGCCCCGGGACCGTCAAAAAACGACTGCAACATGAGAAGCTGGTCCCGGGGGACTGCACGGAAATGATCAGGAACTCGCATGCCTGGTGATGGGCCTGTTTTCCACCACTACCACCATAAGATAGAGGGGGAGGAGTCCTCCTCCTCTTCCTCCTCCTCCTCCTCCTCGTCCTCCACCTCCTTACCCCCTCCAACTTATAGTGGTGGTGGTGGAAAAGAGGCCCATCATCTGGGCTCAGATCCTGGCGTGGCAATGCCTTCACAACGGGGGTGTTCTCGCCCCGCTTCGGGCCCCGGGGCCCTCACAGATCCACCCGGCTCGAGCAAGGATGCAGAGAGGCGCTGCCCAGGGCTCCAGTGGTGATGAAATTGAAAAAATAACGACTGGAGCCCTGGACACCGTCTTTCTGCATACCGTTTTGCGAATCTGCGCTTCTGCGAGATCTGCATCCTTGCTGCAGCGTCGGATCTCGAGGTGCGGCAAGCTCGCGTCGCGCCGACCTCGGCGCTGGTGACACCCACCGCGGGGATCGCTCAACCTGGAACGATCGGCCGGCAGATCGTTCAACGTCGGCCGGTGCTGAGCCGCCAGCGGCGTTCGACGCCGAACGCCAGCGGCGGGGTCGCCGCCGATCGACCACGGCGCGAGCCGACCAGACGTGAGCTGTCGGAGGTCCGCGCGGGCCTCCTGCATCGGCGCATGGGGCCCTCTGCCTGTGCCGCCAGGGGACGGGGGGGGGCTCGGCGCCGATCCACGGCATGCCGCGCGGAGCACCGAGAGCTCCCTGGCTATATGCCGCGCTTTCTCTCGGAAGCTGGGCGAGGGGCTGGCAAATCCGTGGCTGCTAGAACGGCCTTCCCGGAAGAAGAACACGAATTCCCGGAAGAAAGCTCAGCGCACCAAAAATAGTAGGCAGGCTGCTTCCCGGAGGAGAAGAAGCAATTTCCCGGAGCTCCGTTTTAGCAGCCGCGGGTTGGCCAGCCTTCGCCTCGCCTGGCTTCTGATTCTTTCTCGTCTTCGATGAC